GAAAATCGTTTAACTTTTTGTTCACTCACTTTCTGACGGAACTTTAGCGACTTGATTGAATATCGTTCTTTAATTAACTGTCTAGGGATTTAATTCACTCTCTGAACTTACTACTTTACTGCGACATAGACCCGACTGACCCGGCAAATGTTGGTTTTGCCATGAATATTATTTCTAGGAAACATTTTTTAATATACTAAAAATAATTTTCTACGATACTAAAAAATATTGATCGTAGAGGGGTGAAAATTAGGGGTTGTATGTATTTTTGTATGCTGTATCAAAAAAATAAAAAATATAGATAGTAACCGATTCTCACACTTACTGAATATGCATAAAAAATCATAAGAATCAGTCGAACCGTTTCGGAGGAGTATGGGAACGAACATTGTGACCAGAGAATTTTATATATTAGAAGACTAGCAGCTTCGGCCAAGCGTTGCTGTGGCTACGTTGTTATATTACATAGGAGTACTACTATAATAACTATTCAAGGGAAACGGTAGGAAAACACCAGTCATGGGGACCACCATTCGGTTATGCCATGAAATTGTAGCTTATGTGAAACGTTGGTAATTTCAACACAGCGCCATCTGTTAGACTAGTGACTATCAAACAAATGCATGGAATAAAATAATGTTGCGGATATAAATTAAGATGTAAGCTATTTTATCTTTTAAGTTTTTTAAAGCGGTTAAGTAGTTTAGAAGTCCATAGCGGACAAACAACGTGACGCGTAAATTATATAAATTAAGATAAGAAATCCAAATACTGGGGCTTTTACCAAAAAGATAACGTTGTTGTTTTCTAAAGCTATCCTTAGTAAAATAATACATAAAAAATGTACGTCAGGTTTTATTTGTCTAATATTAATCTCTCTGGGCTAGTATTGATCATATTCGGGACTGGAACCAACGACCAGTTTACTGCCGCCCACCTGCATGAATTAAACGGCTTTACGCTTCTGACGCTTATGACGTCTTGGCTGGTCGCCATAGGTCTTAATTATTATATTTTATAGGTACACGTCACACGTTGAGGCTTAATACTTGCAAGTGTCCTCGCGATGTTTTGCGTTATGATCCCACGAGAATTTAAGTGCGGGCTCCTATTTCACCATGACAAGAGGACAAATCTTTGTTTTTTATTTATTTTATTATTATTAATTACTTAAGATGTCATGTGGAACATGGTGTATTGGTTGCAGCTACTTACCAACATTGTGTAAAACAAAATCTTGGTGATAAAAAGAGTGGCGTATAGTTTATTGTCTTCTTCTCTTCCGTTCTACTCCCTTGATTTGAGAACTGGCAGTTAATGTAAAATTAGAAGCATTTCATATATATTTATTTTTTGACGTTCATAAGTGTTCATTTTGTTACCTATATGAATAATTGATTTTGAATTTTCGCCAGGATTTGGATTATAACTGTGATTCGAACACACGACTACAGGGTCGCTTAAACTACTAGGCCAACACTGCTCACGATAACGGGTCAAAATATTGTTTGCTAATTTTTTTATCGACTGATAACGATATTTCATTATTGTATAATGTTGTATAGTAAATCAGTTTATAATAGACTTCTGGACAGTGCAGCAGTGTGTAAAATGAAGTGAGTAAATATTCATAATATTTTTTAATTTCTTTGAACTTTTATTACATTTTACAATTATTGTATGTTGTTCAAACTGTTCTTCTGAAATAAGTTCAGTTGAGTCAATATTTTAAATTATTTTTAGAGTTATGTAGCATTCTAATGGTGGACAAATTATTAAAATTGCCCCTGTAATATTTGGATTTTGTTCGAAAAGAAAAAAAATTCTTTGTAATAGGTATAGACTAACTTTATCGTTCGGACGATGTTGTCTGAATTTTTTTTGCACCAAAATTAATAAATTGATTTACTTTATTTGGAGCTGGCTGCTAATATTGTTTGCTATTTGATATAATTTCTTACCAAGCTAACCATTATATTTTTACGCCATAAATAATGCTAAATTATAATAATAAACGAAAAAGGGACAATTTCGAATATTAAACTTATCTCATGACTAGTGAGTAGGTACTGTTGCAGGCTTTTAGATTAATTTAACATAGCTTAATCTATACTAATATTATAAAGGGGTTTGTAATGATTTCACACAAATACTACTGGACTGATTTAAACATTCTTTCACCATTAGGCAGCTGCATCTTTACTGACTTATAAATATATTTTTCATTTAAAAAAAAATAGGTTTCCCTAAAAAAATGCAATAATATAACCCAAGGTGTGAAAAAATTATCCATAAAAAAATTGTAATCGTGTTGATGATAGAACAAAAAACAATACAGTATTATAGAACAAAAATAATGTTTTACCCATGGGCAATTGTATGTTGACCTATCCCGAGTCGGAAATGAAATTATTTTGCTGCCAAAACGAAACTAGGGCTAATATTGTGTATAGGGAAGTACTAAGACAATGAAGTTCTACAAATAAATCTCTATTCTAATATTATAGAAGAAAGTTTTGCATTCTGTATTTTAGTTTTTATTTTTAACAATTTAATACAAATTCGTGGACTAATTAAAAAAATTATTTCATTACATATTACATCAAGAATTCTTTAACATATGTAGAGTATTTTTAAATATACTAATGTGGGACGAATTTAAAAATGTTTTAGATTTACATATATTCATTATAAAGTAAAATCTGTATGTATAAATCTGAAAGAAAGTAATTAAAAACTAAGTAAAATAAAAGTTCGGTATCCACGCGAGTGAAACTGCGGGGCATTGCTAGTAAAATAAATAAAAATGTGTTTATTAATTTAAAAAAAATGTGTGCGTGTACTAGGTGTGTACACACGTAAGAAGTGAAACTTCTTTATGATCTTATTTTTCGAAAAATGATCTACTATACGCAACTTTACAGAAATTCGTTAAATAAAGTTAAATTAGATAAAGTTTAACAAAAGGCTTTTAATATCACAGACTTGAAAACAAATAATACAATTATTTCATTTTACCTTATTACCACTAAGCTTATTACAGAATTTCATAAATTGTAATATAATTTTTAGTATCATTGTTATAGTTATTATAATTTTTTGTTATTAATGGTTTAGAATCTCTTCGAATCAACCGTGGTAGGGACGAGAAAAAGACGCGCGTAACGGTCAAATGTGACGCGTAACCGAAACATGTGACGCGTAACCGAAAAATGTTACACTAAATTTTTTTCCAACCCCGATAAAGAAGAATCACTTCAACAATTAAGTATAATATGTAAGATTTGGGAACCCTTTTAAGTAAACAATACCTGTGTCCCAGCTCTTCCATAACAAACTTAATAGTTAATTCTGTAACTTTTTTTTTTCAATTATTTTATTTTTATATTATTTTTAAACAATTTACAACACGCCTGAGTGCATGAGTGAGTATAATGTGTCACTACACGTTAGGTTAGGTTAGACAGTGTGATGTGATAGTGTGATAGAAAGATGTGTTCATAAGCCAGTCCTTTAAGGGTTTTTACACGCTTTATATTAGCTTCACCTGTATGTATGTATGTATGTAACCGACTCCTTCGGACTCGATTTTGACCCACTTTTAACGGACAGATTTAATTTAAACTTTGCGCACCTGCCAAAGATCGATGACAATGCAATAATCCGAAAAAAAAATAATAAAAAAATTACTAAAAAATAAATAATAGTTTAAAAAAACTAAAAAACACGTTTTTAAAGCACATAAAACTAAAAAGTGAAAAATTACTAATTTAGGCTGAAAATGGTAATGAACAAAAAGTACTGGTATTATTGTGAAAAAGCGTGGGGCGCTCTGTGCCATATTTTTCGTCTATCGAGCAACCCACGCTTTTTCACAATAATACCAGTATTGGAGTTTACTCTTTAAGAAACGATTTGAGTTATAAGGTCCGGTGCGGAAATTTTATGAGGAGTAAAATCAAGTGTAACACGAAAAGTTGAGGCGTTATGTAGAAAGAGATAAACATATACATCTGTAGGATTGAACGTGTAAAAGAATGAGATGGAATACATTACACAGACTTTTCTATTTTGAATTCACGTTTTGACAGCCACGTTACAACATTGTCAGTGTTGACAGGTGTAAAAAATAAAAGTAGATTGTCTAGCGTGCCATAGAGTTTTGTCAATAGTAATGGTCAGTGAAATTAAAACTAAAAAGATTGTTCATTCTTATTCTTCTCTTACTATAAAGGTAACTTTGGTCACAGAAAGAAAATCCTATTTGGGCATAGATGATGTAGGTACGTTTTATTACTACTACAAACATTTATATTACATTATTATACATTTATATATATAACTGCTACGCCCATGGGTGGATCGTGAATTTGTAGGGTTCTGGGCTACTACGGGGAAGTCCCCCATCATAAAATTTTCATGTGTCCCTTTTTAGTTTAGTTTTTTGTTCCTGTTTTAGTTTACTACATGTATTATGTATTTTTTACACTTTTTAACTTATCTATTTTTTTTAGATAGATTGCTCGAACGCTTAGGTCGCCAGTTGCCCTCCTTTTCAGTTAATTATGTCAATTGTATTATGTTTCTGCAACGAAGTGTTAATACCTAAATATATCCGAAAAATAATAGTTTAAAAAAACTAGAACACACGCTGGTTGCTCGATAGACGAAAAATATGGCACAGAGCGCCCCACGCTTTTTCACAATAATACCAGTATTTTTTGTTCATTACCATTTTCAGCCTAAATTAGGAATTATTTTTCACTTTTTAGTTTGATGTGCTTTAAAAGCGTGTGTTCTAGTTTTTTTAAACTATTATTTATTTTTTAGTTATTTTTTTTATCACATTTGACATTTGGGCATAACTCTTATTAAAAGTGACATAATAGTGAGAGAGAGAGAGAGAGAGATTTTCGTATTTCAAATGCATTACTGTGGACGTACTGATGACGCTCTGAATACTCCAGAATTCTTTCATAATATAATTCCAAAAAAATTGCATGTTTCGCAGGTCAATTGTAGCGGTGTGTTTGCTGGTGTGGGGATGTCAAGGACAGAATAACAATATCCATAGCCCAAATCAATGGATTGGAACCCTTTTAACTCCGACAAGTTAGTCTTAATAATAATAATATCTTTGTATTTTTATAACTTGTGTTGTTATTGTATCTGCGGCTACAATTCAAAGCGATTTGCGCAAGGCTTGCCGCAGTTTGATAGTTTGCGAGTTACGGAGGGAAAACGAATTACTGGATTTGCATTCTCAGATTGCCTCAAAATCATATAATATTAATTTGATAAAAGCCAAGTGCCTGAATGCAGATGGTTAAAATTTGAAAAAAATTAAAACAAAGAAATAATCAAAGCGAATACGTAATATAACTTAAGTTATAAAATTTCCACATCTCGATGGCTGGAAAGCGTCCAAAATTCACGAGGCATTTCCTTTTGCTTTTGCGATCTATCGAGATGTTAAATCCTAACTAGATCCTCACCTTGGTGCGCCCAAGGAGATATGACCTCCAAGTATTTTAAAAACAGCGTACCCTCGTATGGTCGTCCGTGGCCTTTCATGGCTGACGGATGGGAGTATTTGCCGCTTTATCTTATAAAAAGCATATAAACCCTAGTTCATTATAATCGTTGTTCAATTCATTTAAAACATTTGCGTTTCAGATAAAGGACCCTCGGATTGTTACACTGAGAATCAGGAAGTGGGAAAATGTGTGAAATCGTCGGAATGTATGGACAGCATCGAAATCGACTTTGAAAAGATGGACGTTTATAGGTTAGTTTAGGGCCCATTTAACATGGCCTTTAGATACAGTAATTTAAATAAGTAATTTAGAACAATGTACCCGACTTCAAATACCTATAATATATGTCTGAGCAATACCGCTGGTGTCGGCTGCCATTGTCATTATATGTCACAGACCTCGTAAATTAGCAACGTCAACGTCTGTTTATATCCCAACTTACTAAATCAAGGCAATATTATAACGGACGAGAGGAACTTGACACTGTACGCCTCTTTCTCGACCAATATTTCGAAGCAGCAAGTTGTTGGACGGTTCTAATTTGAGGGGACTGGGCTTGGGAGGTGAGGGGCTATTTACAAACACTGACTTCATGTTTAATATATAATATAAACACTACATTATTACACATTTACACTAAATTATGTTTATAAAACTCTAGGATGTTTCACTGTCCGTGTCTAGAAGAGAAGTAAGTTTTCACAACAGAAGACAATCATCTGTAATAACATTTGAATAAACATTCCTTCACATGTGACAAGTGATGCCTGCCATTACTTACACATTCATACTCCAAAACTCTTTATGACATTTTAAAATAATTCATAGATTCAATAAATAATTTCTGGGCGGATGCCCTTCATCATCAGAATCAGCCATGTCTTCAATAAGTTGTAATGTGGGTAGGAACAAAAGAATCACCAAAGTCACAAACAAAAGTTATTAAATCACATAAAGTATCTGAATCCCTTACAGCAATTCACTAAAATGTAATCACTAGTAATTAGGGAATCACTTAATCAATCACTTTTAATTAGTTTTAAAGCAACAAGGCACAAGATTACTCGAAATAAAAGCGATTCGTCGCAAACGTGGTGCGCTCGCCGTTGATGTTCGAAAAATCCAAACGAAATTCAACATGGCCGCGCTGACCAAATCAAATTAAAAAATAAGTCTCTCTTAGCAGTAGATGGTTCTTCCAGTGACCTGGCTTTAAATTTGTATAATCATTCAATAAATAAAACATTGGAACCTCTTCGACAGCTTTAATTTAATTTCCAGTGAGTCCAGCTGCCACTACTTGAAGATATGCTGTCCAACCAGTCGATTGATTACGACAGCAACCGTGACTCCATCTCCACTGCTGCTAAAGAGGGCAGGATGTGGATGGAGCAACCCCGGCGTCTACTCATTCCGCGACTCTTCAAACACGCACGCCAAGCTCGGAGAGTTTCCTTGGATGGTTGCTTTGATGAGGTATTAATTTTAACCAACTTTGAGGCAGACCAGACCAAAGTCTGGTCTCCTCACGATGTTTGAATAATCTAAACGCTACTGCACCAAGCTGCTTCCAACATTTTACTCATTTCGATTACACTTATGGCTCTGGTAATAGGGTATACGTCAGACTGGCGTAGACACTGTGACACGCTCAGGAGACGAGAAAAGAATGTCGAAATCAATTCGCATTTATATTAGATAAGTATTTAATATATACCCGATAACCTTAGACAATTAATACAGATAATAAACCTTCTCCAGGAAATCCAGTCAGAACCAGGCTTGGGATCCAAAGGATTCCCTGGGAGGTGGAAGTCTGATCCATAATTCCGTGGTGATGACGGTCGCCCATAAACTCAATGCTATCAATAACGACCCATCTTTGGTAAGTACGAGTTACCAGTCGTTGGAAGACGTTGTTAGAGTCCTAAATCATAAATTTCCAGCAAATAATTAACTATTTCAATAATTAAAATCCAATTACGAGGTCTCCTTCAAAATACTGTTGGGACTGTCATGACGGTGCAGTGCTTCAGGGACGTTAGAACGCACCAACACTGATAGTTTAAATGCGAAAACGTTAAGCGCCTAAGATACAGCAACACTAGCATAAAGGTGCTGCCGTATATCCCGTTTACTTACTTTGTTTACAATCAATAAAAAACACTTGTTAATAATTATGTAATAACAATATTTGATGGGTTGTTTGTATTATTATATTTACAGATAAAATGCCGTCTTGGCGAATTGAATAGGCAGAATACGAACGAAATTTATCCCCACCAGGACAGAGATGTCAGGAAAGTCCTTGTTCATGAACAGTTCTCTTCGAGTAAGTACATTTATTTATAAATAAACATTAACCGCCCACAAGTTTGCACAACATCTACATGCCTTTAAAGATAAATATCCGCATCCGCAACAGATGATTCTTTAACTTCGTCTAAGCTAAGCCTCTGAACATTAACATACACAATTTATAATTATTTATTATTTTTCAGAGTCCCTAGCATACGACATTGCCCTAGTAATTACATCGTCTCCATTCGATCTGAGCTATCCCCATGTGGGGATAGCCTGTTTGAGTATCAAAGCGCCTAAAACGGACGCTAGTTGTTTTAGCATGGGGTGGGGTAAAGACTTAAATAATGCCAATAACTATGCCGTCTCGTTAAAGAAGGTACGTTTTAAATATTCATTTTTAAATAATTTATATAACTAAAAGATATTATATTTAATTAATCAGTTACATAACTCCATTGATAGAGATTACAAAAATAACTAGCAATATTAATCGATAATGCATTTCACATGGCTCCCTCTGAATAATATTTAATATTATATTATGCGATCAATCTACGTACATATAATAAGGAGCAAAGGTTTTTATGTTTTATAACGAGAAAACTCTATAATTATATGTAAAACAATTAAAGACCATGTTCCGGCCTCTATCTTATTATAGGTGCCATTACCAATAGTTGACCTAGGGACTTGTGAATTGGCCTTACAAGGTGTGATTGGAAGTAAGTTCAGCTTGGACAACTCGTTAATATGTGCTGGAGGAAGGAAGAACGTTGACATATGCATTGGTGATGGAGGCTCGTCACTTGCTTGTCGCACTTCGGTAAGTAAAACCATCGCAGTGTCTACAAAGACAGGAATAATAGTCAAGCCCCTTCCTAGTGGGAGAGCACATTCGGTTCATAGATACTTTATTTCTCAAAGAATTACATTCACTTAGCGAAAGCGAAAGTTTCTTGCCAGTTCTTCTCGCTTAAATGTTAATGTAGATCTTCGTTTTTTATTAAATATAGACGTCCATAAGTGTACAAATCAACCGATATGAGTAAATAAATTTTGATTAGGTTTGATTTTGCTGCAATAGAATTCTGCTGTCATATTGAAGCTGTTTTTTACTTATTCAATAATTTGATTACTTCTTTCAGAGCGATGGCGCCCCACCTCGTTACACATTGTACGGAATGGTTTCACATGGCGTCGAATGTGGTTTAGAAGTACCCGCCCTATACGTCAACGTACAGGCGATGCTTCCATGGATCACTGATAAATTTTTTGACGAGAAACTTGACCTTACGTTCTTCGCTTAAAAATGTATAAGTTAGATATTTTCAATGAGCCACGGTCTATGCGCTATTATTATTATGTAGATAAACACACAATAGTCGACGCATTTTAAACTAAGTCGTCGGGCAATAAATGTCACTTACAGTAGGAATGTGCACGCAATGCAACCCGTTATCGATGCTTCCCTTCTTTAGCTCTCTGACTCCGACTGATGAGGATTTTCGAAGAACTAAGAAATATCCCTAGAATCAGTAAGCGATAAGAGACATTCATTATAAGAAACAATAAAAAAATAATAAAATATACCAAAAAATTTACTTAAATGAAAAGTAGAATTCCAGACTTACAGGCCGTGTGCGCCATTAATACTAAATTGGATAGAACGAAGCGAGACTTATGTAACCCAACATTAGTTTACGCTTTGAATTAGTATATAAATATTTTAGTTACTAATTCAAAGCGTAAACAAAATGTAAACAATAATCACACTTGATATGAGCCCTTTAGTTTTTACCACGCTCATAAATTGTATTTTAACATTCTCGTTTCCGATAATGTCCAATAACATAAGTGTCATTTAGATGTATGAATCCTTAGATAAGCCAAATTTGTTTTTGTTAACCCCTTTTTTGTGTTAGTTATAAGCTTATGTTTTAAACCATTAAATTTAGTTTTCACCCAGCTTCAATCAAAGAGTTTTATTGTAACATCCCCATACAAAAACCGCCGCCGAACTTAACTCGAGTCTAAAACTAAAACGTATAGGATTTTAACAAAATACAGTCGTAAGTGCTGTCTCGCTTCTTAAGATTATGTTGAAATAAGAGAAACATTAACTCTAATGTCCATACTATGGAGAATGAACTATTTGGTTGTACCGTAGCCGAGTTCACAAGAGGTTTTTACTATGTTATAGATTTTATCATTTGTGTTTTAAAGAAGTCGAGGCTATCATGTTGTTCTTTCAAATTAGTCCTAGAATTGTGTTTATTATTATTCAGAACGTTGTTGAAGCTGTGGATGGTATTTTCATATTGATAAGACGTAGAAACCTTATATGGTACGCTTTTATTTTTGTCATTTATTCATATAGGTAGCACAAACTGTGTACTTTGTGTTAAGCTTAGGTTTCCTAGAAAAGCGGTGCCGTCATCCAACGGCCGTAATGTAACGTTGGGTGACGTCACCCATACGTTGTCTATAAATAACATTGGAATAGGTTTTCTAGAGAACGTTGAGTGTCACCGTAACGTCAAATAGCGGTACTGTCATTTGCATGACGGCCATAGCGGTGATAAACATTAGTTCAACGTTTTTCGCGTATAGCGGTGCCCATATTTAATTAATACAATGAGTTGGTCGAGCGAAAATGATTGTTTTTTTACATTATGTTAAAAAGTAAAGACGGCCGTTATTAACAACCGTAAAGTTAGTTAACGGCACCGCTTTTCTAGGAAACCTAAACTTTATTTGTTTATATGTTACCGGAAATGTATGAAATCTAGGAATTGTATACAAATCCTAGGAAAATTATCTAATTCCGAAGCTATTTACGAAATGTATAAAATATTGTTTCGATTATAGAAATACTTTAAATCAATGGCGAAGAACGGACGAGAAGAACTGGCTAATAGTGTCACCGACATTCTATGAAGCGCCAAGTTTTTGAAGTGAAACCTTCTTTAGCATCGTTGTGATTAGAAAGTCGATGAAACGAAAAGCGACAGTAAAGTCGAAAAGACGATAAAGACAGGCATAATTTCATAAGATTTAACGTGGGTGACAATGAGATTACATCAGGAAGCATTATACAGTGTAGAAACTTTAAATAAGTGATCATTTTCTGAATTAAAAAACATAGATGTGCAAAAGAAATAAATAAGACATTAATTATTAAATTATATGCAATTTATCAATTTAATTTCCATATCATAGAATATAAAAACTTTTTAATTATTTTAGATGTTAAATTTGTTTTAAAATATAAAAAATAATTGAAGCAAAGTCTAATACTACATTTAGTAATGAAAAAAAGAAACGCAAAGAACACGTGGAAAAACTGAAACCTTCAAAAATTTTCGTTTCAAGATAATAAGACGATTGTAAGTTTAATTTTTACGTTTAATATCAATTATTTATTTTAAGAAAAATATAATGATTATTAAAGTTATAATTAATAAAATAATTTAAATTAGACTTTTTTTCATTATCTAATAATATCTAATACTACATGTATTAGACTTTTCGTTAAATTATTTTATTTTTATTTTACTAGTTTTGTAAGGAGTTGCAAGCATTACATTATAAATTAATTTTAAACATAATTAAAAATAACACTTTGTATTAGATTTGTAGGAAGTAATTAATAATTTGAAATGTTGTTTTATTATTATATATTTTCAAATAAATAAATAGCCTATTATAGGCCACATTTGCGCTTGAATTTTTAAATAAAATATATTGAAAATTCACACAGTGAATCAAATGTGATATAACCCAAATTCTGGGGCTTTTACCAGAAAGATAACGTTGTAATAAACAATGATTTAAATGACGCTTATCTCAAAGCAAAGACTAAACATGCTATGCTATATAAATATAGAATCCACGCTACGAGAACGAAGGAAATATTTTTTTCCTTAATTTTCTAAGGCCATCCTTAGTAAGATAAAATTAATAAATCAGTGGCGCTACAACCTCTTTAGGTCTTGGCCTCATATTTCTGAATCTGTTTCAAGATCATTTTTAAATCTAATAGGCAAGTAGGTGATCAGCCTCCAGTACCTGACACACATCGACTTTTTGGGTCTAAGACATGTCGATTTCCTCACGATGTTTTCCTTCACCGTTCGAGCAAATGGTAAATGCGCACATAGAAAGAAAGTCCATTGGTGCACAGCCGGGGATCGACCCTACGACCTCAGGTATGAGAGTCGCACGCTGAAGCCTAGGCCAACACTGCTCTCCTTAGTAAGATAATAGATAAAAAAAGATTGTCAGGTTTTATTTGACTACTATTGATTTCTCTGCGGTATTGACCATTTTCGTTTTTTTTGGGACTGGAAGCAAACGACCAGTTCACTGCCACCCACGGACACCTGTAATATCAGATTTGCTATTTGGATGAATTAAACGGTTTTACACTTCGATTGATGACCATTCGGAAGTACAAGAATTGACTTCCTGATAGTAGCTTATTAAATATTAAGTCCCTCTTCTATTAATAGACGAATCAACTATGTGCACTTCCTTCTCTTAGTTCGATGAAGGAATTTTGACATACTCGTTTCTGAAACTGAAATAATCCACTGTCTATGTGGGTTGGCTGGTCGCCATAGGTCTTAATTATTATATTCAAACTCAAAATAACTTTATTCATATAGGTAGACAAGTACACTTATGAACGTCAACAGAAAAGATGTTAAATTGATTGTTAATTTACATTTATAGTATACAGGCCCCATGTTGTACAATACACTCAATAAAATTCTGAATATTTATCCCCTTAATATCTATGAATGTAAAATAAAACTGCTTGAATGGCTAAAAACTCAGAAATATAATGAAATAGAAAACTTGTTTGCTAATGTAAAATAATAAATTTTCCTATTTAAAATATCTAACCTCAGTCCTAAGAGTGTTCAGAAATGTAATTCAAATATAAAAACTTAATACTTAATAGTAGTTTCCGTAATTATATAAATTATAACGATAATAAATTCATATCTCAAATTCAAGTTTCTCATCCACAAGATTTAAAAATCTTTGTCGAAGTTCACATTTACTACGGTCTACCAATTGCAACAACTTTTTTTAGATTCTACCCTCATTTAGTTTTATAAACAATAAAAATATAACCCGAATAAACATCTAATCACAAACAACTTAGCCAATTTGATAAAGACACTGGAAGGAACTAGCGTTTAAGATACAGGCTAGGCCTAGTTTAAACGCTAGTGCACATAGAATTATTTTATGTACGAGGTTAACTAAAATTAATAGTGAGAACTCAACGATGTTTATAACATTTAGAATGTAAGTACAAAATGTAATTGTTTTTTCGTCAAATAAAGTGATTTTTATTATTATTATTATTATTTACTACAAGTCAAGGGCGTAGGGCATGAAGAACTGGCAAGAAACTCTTCGCCACTCATTTTAATCGCCAAGTTTTGAGTCATACAAATTGTTTGAACTGGAGCAAATCAATCCCAAGTATTAGGGTCATATCAATAGTCGTCAAATTTATAAAAGGCTTTATTGATTAATTTACGTTTAACGAGAGCTTTTAATTTATTCAGTGTGTAGTTGTGAGTATTTTACACCAACACGTCACATGTTGGGGCTTAATACGTGCAAGTATCCTCGCGATGTTTTTCACCAGGTAATTAATTGTGCGACGCAGTGGTAGACGAGGTATGGAATGCAGTGGTATCCTTCTGTGAGCATGTCATGCTACAGAAGGAGACAGCAGAACGAGAGAGGGAGCGCTTTAGGACGAATCCTAGGGGTAGAAGACGGGGAGTAAATAGGAGGTGGTTTTAGTGGGCATTGCTCACCCAGTCTCTGAATAGCAGAGATTTTGGCGTGGGTCGAGTCCCACATACCCCTGTTCAGGGGATGCGCAAATGCATTTCCACCTCGGATATCAAAAAAAAAAAAAAAGGTAATTAATTGCGCAGAAACAACAATCCTTTGGATTCTAACTGTGACACACGACTTCAGGGTCGCTTAAGCTACTAGGCCAACACTGCTCACGATAATGGGTCAAAATACTGTTTGTTAATTTTTTTATCAACTGATAACGATATTTTATTATTGTATAGTGAATCAGTTTATAATAGACTTCTGGACAGTGCAGTAGTGTGTAAAATGAAGTGAGTAAATTCATAATATTTTTTAATTCTTTGAACTTTTATTACTTAGAGAAATTATTGAAATTGCTCCTGTAATATTTGGATTTTGTTTGTTTTGTGTCCCCACGAGGCAATTCCTTTAGCGATCTATGGATGTGAAATCTTCG